GAGGTCCTGACTCTCTGTGGTCATTAAAAATCCCAGGATGTCCTCTGAAAAAGAGTAGGGGTTTCACCCTGGCATCCTTTCCATCAGCTGGTATGTGGTGTGCGGTCTGACGCAATATGTCTGCTATTGCATCATCTAGGTGGATGCTGCAAATTGGTAGTGGATGCGGAGATCCCCCACCTCCCCTAAAAAACGTGTTTAACGCTTTGAGTGTCCAGAAAAGTGTTACATAAATGCATGGAATTATTATTATAACTTTTTTTCTTCCAAAAATTGACTTCCACATTTTTTTTGATTTTGTATTACAATCATTGCCAATTAACATTTTGTCATTCTGCATTAATTGAACCAAGTGTAAAAGCACCCTTTGAATCAGTTTGGAAAGTAAGTACAAGGTGTTTGGGCATTAATCATCCATACAATAAAACATTAGTGTGGGCCAGTATTGTTTTGGATCTTAGTGGCTTCCATTGTGTGCTTAAAACACTTAAAGCACGTTTTCCTTTAAAAAGAATGAGATATATTTTTAACTGCATGTTAGTTTTTTTAAGCTGCATCTAGTAGCTCTCTTAGTAAGAGCCACTAAGAGTTGATTAAAAGATCCTCCATCAACCATTGCCAGAAGAGCCTGTGTCCAGACATTTCGATGGACAATTAAGATGGGGAATCAGGACTGAAGCAAGTATCCTTAACTATTAACATCACTTAATGACATGATCCACGGCTTAGATTAGTACGATTATTACGTTTGGGAGCAAAACCAAGGTCTGTTTTCCTTTTGCAAAGCACCATTCATACTCATTTAAATATCTGATAATCTTTGAGTGACTCTCGTTGAGAAAATTGCTTCGATAGATCAAACGAACCAGCAAAGAACACGGAAAACCATTGCTATTAGAGCTTGTGGCTAATGATGGTCTTCAAAGCCCCCAACTCACTGAGGAGAGTGGTCATTACAAAAATATGTTTGTCCTCATAGGAAACGGTTCACCTGGTCATGAAAGCTTAGGATCTAGCCTCACCCCACTCCTTTTAATCACGCATATGCAGAGATAGCCAACATTTTTCGAGACCACAATAGGTTGTTTATCCAGCACTAGTAACGATTTGATTTCATCTGAGAATACTAAACTTTTATTGCACCCAAATATGTTTGAGAGATTTTTGCCATAATGTTGATTGAGACAAAAAAAAATGCATATATTGCAAGGTGCATATAATGAAAGCAGCGAGAGCTAATTCATTGAAAATCATTTTTCCCTTAAAAATATAAACTTTTTGAAATAATTTCCATTATCATTCTGTATATGTTACTTATGTTTTAGATACCCACTTCTAATGTTATCATTCGATGAAATGGGCATTATCAGTGGTTATCAGCTGATAGATTTCAGCTGGGGTAGGGGTAGACGTTCATAAAATACGATAAATGGAAAGTTTAATAAATAATATAAATAATTCTCATTAACTTCTGGCCGCAGTCGTATATGATCTATAGCTGATTACCTATGTGGATGGATCATAACAGTTTTCTAAGCCTACCAGTAGACTCAAAAAGGCCCCTACTGGCCCATAACTATCAGCTGATAACCACTGATAACACCCATTCAATCGAGTGATAACATTCGAATCGGATGGTTAATATCTGATGTTATATATCTCATCTCAATATAACACAAAAGTTTTAGATATTTTCACACATTGCTCATTTTTTTATTTTAAACATTGTGCAATTTCCGATTGTATGGTTTAATTAGGCATATACAAACAGAGGACTGACAAAAAATTGCATTAGTGGGGTGGTCATGGCTAGGCCCACACGGAATCTGCGCGTGCAGAATTCCAGAGATTTTCCGGAGATTTTCCGCAAAATTTCACTGATTTCTGCAGATTTTTAGCCCATTATTAATTCTGTTTATTTGCTTGAATAAATGTGTAAATCTGAATTTATTCAGTTTTTATTCAGTAATTTATTACTTTTTATTTAATATATTAAAGTTTTAGGTAGGATACTCCGCTGGATACTCCCAAAATAATTCTGCAGAAATTTGTAGATTTTTACCAAAATTCTCAGCAGAAAAAAAGATTTATGATAAATCATAATTGTAATTTTGTTAGATAAAAAGCCATGATGTCTGATTCTATCAGTAAACACACCTCTGCAGTTAACCTTTTCATCTTCACCAGCAACTTGCATAGTATAGATCTTATTAATGCTGCACGACATTGGAAAAATCTGACATTGCGATATTTTGCTTTGCTGTGATATACATTGAGAGATGAACATAATTTGATTAGATGAGTTGATTTTGTTGATTTAGATCAACTGGGAAGTTCAAGTCTTCTTCTAGGCAGTGCATCTGCATAAAACATAATAAATTACAAGCATAAAGTTGCAATCAGAATTATTAGCCCTCCTGAAATGTTACCCCCCTGTTTATTTTTATCACCAATTTCTGTTAAACGGGGAGATTTTTTCAACACATTTTTTAATCTTAATAGTTTAATAGCTCATTTCTAATAACTGATTTATTTTATCTTTGCCATGATGACAGTAAATAATATTTTACTAGATATTTTTCAAGATACTTCTATACAGCTTATACAGTGACATTTAAAGGCTTAACTAATTAAGTTAACTAGGCAGGATATGGTAATTAGGAAAGGTATTATATAACAATGGTGTGTTCTGTATTGAAAAAATATATGTACATTGACCTTAAATAATTTTTTTAAATTAAAAACTGCTTTTATTCTAGCCAACATAAAACAAATAAGGATTTCTCCAGAAGAAAAAAAAAGATCAAACACACTGTGAAAATGTCCTTGCTCTGTTAAACATAATTTGATAAATATAAAAAAAATAAATAAATTCTAATTTCAACTATATAAAACTGCAACAGATCTGAAATAAACAGTGCTTTGAAGTTATATTAAGAGTTTTAAAGTACAGAAATTAAATAATCAAATGTAAAATAACATTTTCATCATTGTATAAATAATTTGTAGAAAAATAATATTTAATAATATCTTTATATTTTTCTAAGCAATTTCATTCTGCGATGTGTGCGGATACACACATTGCTATATCAACACTCAAACGATATATTATTCAGGCCTAGATCTTCTTTTTATAAAATGTTAAGTCTGTGTAAAATCAAAATTTGCAATGTTTATTTTTCTAGCACACATTGTTATTCTTTAGGTGAACATATAATCTGTGCAAGTTAATCCACTGCAAAAACAAAATTCAATCAAAATCTGACTAAAGTCATGTTTGGAGTGGCTGCCCTTCTTTGTTGACATCAGTTTAACAATTTCTTAACCATGGTCCTTTAACCATTAGTTTGCTTGCAGCGAATGATGCGCAAATTCCCCGCCCTCTACTCATTACTCCATTTCAGTTGAAAGCGCATAAACACACTGAAATAAACTTCTCGCAACTTTCAATTCACATACTTTAAACTTTATAACTAGTGTGTTGAGCGCTTAAAAGTTTCGAGATTGGCCTCATTGACTTCCCTTCTAAGTTGGTGTCTGAAAGTGTCTTAATTTGCTTGTCTGCAATTTCAAACCTATTAATTGCATGAAGCGTATGTTTTCTTAAACTTTGGATCCACATTTCAAAGCCTGCAGTATGAAAGGACTGCATGTAAACAGGTCAATAATTAGCTGTGTGTCTCTTTATTGTCCACACTATTACTTAGGAGACATACAAACTCAGATTAGCATCTGATAACGCACTTAATATCCAACAATGTCAGGGGCTGCATGGATGGAAGGTATCCAGTGGCTAGTCTTAGCCATAGCTCCCTTCGAGCACAATGCCCCACTTGTTGCTCCGTCTCCTCTGGCATGATCCAAAGCCATATCAGGCCCTTCCCGAGGCTTCAAATCGCTCAATTTTCAGTGCGTGCTCAATCTAATCTTGGGTTTTATGATTGGATATTATGATAAAGCTGGTGGTGCAAATTATACAGTTCATATATGTTGAACAGGGGCTAATTGAAACATGAATGAGCTCATTGTTATTGGGATGGTGTATCAAATGAGGATGATGGTTAATTTAGGTCTAGATAAGGGATTCTGTAACATCGCCCGTTCTTACAACACACTCGCCTCGTAATTATCCGAGGTAATCTAGGGATTTTAATTCCAGGAGAATTTGAATGTGGTAATAGGGGCCATTAACTGCGCTAATGCATATCTCAGATTGTAGCCTCGAAATGCTGCTTTACTCCTTCTGAATTAAGCATTTGTACATATTATCGTAGCAATTCATCCGGGAAGGGTTCCACTTGAGAACTGTTGCTAAGTGGTTCGCAGTCTAGATCAGTCAGCCAAGAAATTTAATCTCATCTCATAAAACTGATTGGTTTAATTGGCTGAGAGTCTGGCAAGATTACACAAAAACAGACTTTCGCTGTACTTATTGCCGCTTATAATCTTGCACGGGATAGCAAATTTGAGCCGTTTTTTTTTTTTTTGGTGAAAGAATGCTTTAGCCGAGGTGAAATCGATGCTCCATGCGCTGCGCCAACACTGGCTGAATTTTCCAAAAGGTGCTTTCTGGGAAAGATTGCTCTGTTTGTATGAGTGCGAGCATTTGTTTGCAGATGTTTATGTTGGAGGTGGGAAAACAAGGGCTTAAATGGTTACCGGGAAAAGAGGAGGGGTGCAAAATCCATCCCTTTACTCCACCTACCCCACCCCATCCTCTATACTGCTTCCTTATTCTGCCCGGCTGCAGACACTTGGCTTTTGTATGGAGGGAACCAGAGAAACAATCCACTCTCTCTGTTTGGAAAATACTTGCAAGGAAAGAGACCGGGAGCTTCCAGGTGCTTTGCCCCCTGTTAAAAGCCCTGTAAGGAGGTCCTCGTCTTGCCTGGAGTCAGGAGAGCCACTGCCTAGTGAAGCCTCTCGCATTCTCCCTCTCCCTCTCTCTCTCTTTCTTTCTCTCTCCCTCCTACTTTCCACCCTGAGTGCACAGAGATTCAGAAGGTGCGTCTGAAATCTACTTGTATCCAAGCTGGAGACAACACCACAAGGACTTTTCCTTCCTTTTTGCTGCGACAAGCACATGGACTTAATTATCAGCGGAGACAGAAATAAGAACAAGAAGCAGACTGGCACCTGCCACTGAGAGCCAGAACTTTCTCAAGAGTTGCATTCGTTCTTTCGGCACGTATGTAAACAATATTTGACTGCGAGCGCAAGTGCCAAGACATTCCCGAGACTTGCCTGGCTGCTGGGTTCCCATCACTATCTTCCTGAGACATTTCTCCAGGGATGACTGTCTGAAGGAGGAACGCAGAAAAGAAGCCACCTGACCTGCAGAAGTTACCTGCCCTGAGACGCAAGAAGGGTGAGGTAAGTTCTGAATCTTTCATTTTCCTTCCCCTCCGGGTCTATGTCATCCCTGAAAATGTTTTTCATATCCCGTTGCTTCTCTGCAATTGAATCCAAATGTAATGCAGAGAGGGGAAAAACAGTCGGGTTTACATCTCAATCATGGGACCAGCATAATTCTCAGCGCACTGCTTCGCACAAGGCAGATTAACAGAATGATTTAGTGCTCTACCCCCGTTAATCTCCGCGAAATATGCGGCATGTTTTTCTAAACAGAGCCATGTGGCTACCAGTGCTCGTCTTGTGTGCTTGTGGTTTGTGCGTGCCTGTGGCTGATAGGTTGCGTGGTTCAGGTAGTGTTGTGGGTCTCTTCTGGAGTTGGAGAGGGAGAGAGTTATATAACTGCAGCAGCCTCCCTCTCGCTGACACCTGGGACTGTTTGGTCTGTGCACAAATGCCACTCACTTAAATGTAGCTCCGCCTGCAGTTTTATAAAGCCCCTGCCCACTTTTCAGCTTCTGAAAGTTTGCATTTTGACCTGTCAGTCTACTAGTCTTCATATTTTAAACCTATTTAGAGTGCAGAGCTCTTTGTATTTTTAATAGGAGGTTGGAATGACACATCAGATCGGCTCTTTTGGAGTCAGCATGAAACTTTAATATTGTTTATTATATGTGGTGGTGTCATTCTGAAGGTGAAGTATGTCCTGTCAGATCCGTTCAGGTTAAAGTTTTATACACTGTAAAACTTCAAAAAGTGAAGGTATCTCAAACCGTTTGATGAAACCGATTGCAGCAAATCATTTAAGTTCAAAAGCTAATCCTAATGAGTACTGTGAACTTACTTTAAGTTTTAAGAAGTTATGAGGTATTTAATTAATTCATTACCTTCAACACTGAGTTCAAAACTCTTTTCAAATGAGTAGAATTGGCTTTCAATAAATTTTGAGTTAACTACACTGATTTCATTTGATAAAGTTGACTGTTGGGTTTTACAGTGTAATAAACATGAATAAATTAATATAAATTGATGAATATATACACTGTACAAAATGCTGGGTTCCTCAGCTCCTCTGTGTTGTCCCAACACAAATTGATAAAGTTAACTTCAGTGTTTTACAAATTTAAGTGAATTGAATATAAAACAAATAAGTTGTCACATAAACACCCAAAAGAATTGTGTTGTTTCAATTCATTTTAAATAAGTAGTTTTTAAGCAGCAAAAGCCAATTTTGAGTGTATATGTGTGTAATAACATGGTTGTTGTTGTTACTATTATTATTGATGGTGGTAGTACTTTGATTGCAATTATTATTGTTACACATTTTGGTGAATAATTCACATTAAAGTAGGTCTTTAAAATTCAACATAAAACTAACATTGTTCCTATGAAAGTGGGCTATTTGAACTGTCAGAAATAAGCTGCGTCCCAAATGACACACATTACACTGTGCACTATATGCACTTACACACTCAGTAGCATAGTATATGAATGTACAGAAGTGTTGTTTCAAATGGAACTATTTTTACTAATCGAAAGTTTCCCAGATGACGTTTGACAGTTGCCAAATTACTGAAATAATTTACCAAATAATACTTGCCATGATTATAACCGCATTCGCCATTGGGAGGCGCTATAATCACTCTCCTAGGAGAATCTTGCTTTTACATGCCAAAATAAATGAAGTAATAAAACATGAGGGCCCGAAAGCTCCACCCCTTCCGCTACATGAGAAAAGCAGCAGCTGTTGAGTGTGTGAAGTGTCCAACGTTCCAAACTTCTTTTACTGGTTGAATAAGTGAATGCACTACTTACACTATTTATACTACAAAATGGCGTAGAATTGTGCATTAGTATCCGATTTGGGACGCACTTATACTCAAAAAATTATGCTTGTTCAAACTACTTACTTAAACTACTAATCTTTCCCCGACAACTTAATTGTTTTATGTTCAATACACTTACATTTGTAAAATTGGTTAAGTTAATGTTTATTTGTGTTAAGACAACATGAAGAAATTTTGTGGAACCCAGCTTTTTTTACAGTCTAGTCTACTTTAGGTAAAAATGTCACATTTGAATCTTTTCTTTTGTTCGTTTATTCATTCTTTATTTTTTTCTTTCATTCGTTCAGTCTTTCCTTCATTCGTTCTTTCTTTCTTTCATTCGTTCGTTGTTTTTTTCTTTTGTTCATTCATTCTTTTGTTTGTTCAATCTTTCGTTCTTTCGTTTGTTCAGTGTTACTTTCGTTCGTTCGTTCTTTCATTCTTTTGTTAGTTCGATCTTTTTTTCTTTCTTTCGTTCGTTCGTTTGTTCTTTTTTTCGTTAGTTCTTTCATTAATTTGTTCTTTCCTTCGTTCGTTGTTTCTTTCTTTTGTTCGTTCATTGTTTCGTTCGTATATTGTTTCTTTCTGTCGTTTGTTCTTTTGTTAGCTTGAGCTTTTGTTCTTTCTTTTGTTTGTTCGTTCTTTCTTTCTTTCGTTCGTTCGTTCGATCTTTCGTTCTTTATTTATTTAATTGTTTGTTTGTTTAAACTGAATATTAAACAATAATATTAAACAATAAATATGAAACAATAATGTATTAAGCCTATATTAATAATGAATTATTGTTCTTAATTCCTTGTTCTGTTTTTGAATATTTCTATAGTTTGTATTAATATATTACTTAAATTATATAATAAATATTATAAAAATATTAGTGTTATATTTATAAATATAAAATCTTGCTTTGCCTCCACTGGTGATGTCATAAATAACATTTTAACCCATTCATTTTCAAACACCTGCATTTGTTTTTATATGTGTTATACCTATTTTTTTATGATCATATAATTTTTTGAGTCCCACCTTCAATTGTCTACCTAATATAGTCTAAACCAGGGGTGCTCAACCCTGTACCTGGAGATCCAGAGTTCAGTTTTAACCATGGTCAAACACACCTGAACCACTTAATTAGGTCCTGAACAGCACTTGATAATTAGAGGCAGGTGTGTTTGATATGGGTTGCAACTGAAATCTGCATGAAGAAAGATGTTCAGGAGCAGCTATGCTCACACCAGCAATGAACAATATCAAATGAGTCAGATTTAGATGTGAGTTGAGAACTGCACTTCATATTGGCTAAAATGGAAAAAAAAAAAAACTCTGTCTGGGTGTTTTGTTCAGTAGCAAACTTCTCACCCCAGCAAGAGTCGGACATGATGTTTTGTCATAATATGTCTAAAAAGACCTTAAAGATCTGCTTTGTGATGTTTAAGCTTTTCCACACATAATCAACTACTGCACATGGCATGAGCTCTGTGCTGCAGTCTTAATTTCAGACGGAGAGCGAGCGAGACGACTGTGAGAGAGAGAAGGGAATGTGCTTTCATAATACATTCTTCACCAAGAGCACTGGGGAATAGTATTCAATAATACTTTTTTTCTCGTCTGAGTAGCAGGGCCCGACTTCTACCGAACTGAAACAGACCCAGTCTGGAAAAGACGACATGCTCTCCACTAAAAACATTTGGCGCCTCAACATGATGGCTTTCAGGAGGAGAAGCGCTTGTGGTCTGATTGCGAACCTGTGCGTCACTGCTACCCCTTTACACTAGGGATAGATGAAGACTCGTTGGTATCAATTGTCCACATACTGTAGTATGGATAATGATAACACTTAATATCTGGAATTGGCCTCTACAACTGGTTTGGTTATGGTTGTACGATGTGACAATAAATTGTCTGCAATGAAAAGTTTACTATAGTAGCACATGAGCAATACACTTACAAACAGAGATGTTTTAACTCCATTTTCACTTCATAACATCAGCCGAAGGTTTGAAATAACTTTTTTTTTGTGATCAAATGCACTGTGTAAAATGCTGGGTTCCACATAAATCCTTCATGCTGTCCCAACACAAGTCGATTAAGTTAACTTGATTGTTTTTTTACAAATTTAAGTGGATATAACATAAAACAATTAAGTTGTCCTAAAACAAACTTAAAAATTGTGTTTATTCAGCTCATTTTAAATATATTAGTTAAAAATAAAACTAATGGAAAAAAACGTGTGCTTTATGTCACAGATTGAGAAGATCGTAGTGTTTTATTGTAATCTATTTATGGGGTACACTCAAAAAATATTTTTCCGCTTTTTCTAACTACTTATGCACTGTACCCAATAAGTTAAGGTAACCATTTGAGGAAACCGATTGCAACAAACCATTTGAGTTCAAAAACTAATCCTAATGAGTACTGTGAACTTAATCTATTTGAGTATATGAAGCCATTTGAGCAAAGTAAAACCAATAAATGAAGAGAACTCAAACCAAATGAGAACTGGAAAACCCATTAAGTTCAGGCAACTCAAACCATTTGATGAAACCGATTGCTACAAACCATTTGAGTTAAAAACTAATCTATATTGAGAACTGTGAACTTTTAAGTTGAATGAGGTATTTAATTAACCCATTACCTTCAACGCTGAGTTCAAAACTCTTTCCACATGAGTAGAATGAACTTTCAGTCAATTTTGAGTTAACTACACTCATTTCATTTAATAAAGTTGACTGTTGGGTTTTACAATGTGTAAAATAAGTGTAAACAACTAAATTCTTGAGATTATTTTGGGACCACTTAATTGTTTTTATGTTCAGCATTATAAATATTTCACTTTGTTCTTGTTTACTTACTATAATTACTAATAGATACTTTATTCTTATAAAATATACAAGAAGGATTAAAAAATACAAATAAACCATATATTTGCTTCTTTTTTTATCAGGTACAGTGTTAAGTTTAAGTTTGTTGAGTTTAAAATCTTGGTCACACTTTATTTTGATGGTGCTTTTGTTGAGCTTAAGTTACATTGCATCTACATGCCAACTAATTCTCATTAGATTATAAGTAATCTCTTAGGTTGGGGGTAGGGTTAGTGTAAGTTGACATGTACTGACTTCTTATAGTGAGTTAAATTGGAGCTACTGAATGAGCAGTAGCAACAGATATTAAGCTGACAGTCTACTAATACTCAAATGG